AAAAAAATCATGAAATTGATAGTATTAATTTGGACAAACAATATAATTCTCCATCAGGAGTTGTCATTCAACAGTTCGTCAAGTTCTGTTCAATTAAAAAAAAAAAAAAAAAAAGAGTTCTTCAAGTTCTCCAATAAAATTGAAACAACTGAATACAGTGAAAAGCCTCAAAATTGCCTTCCCTAGGTTGAGCACAATCCTGAATATCTTCGGCTAGAGTATTTACTGGATACGGCAATGCAGACAACAGACTCCTTGCAGACACCAGATTTCATCGCATGTTTCCTTCGCGTAAGACATCTATCATGTCATAGATGCGCTTATCTGCCTTTGATTTAACCTGCATTTCCACCATCATTGATCAAAGAGCAGTGTAAGAATGCATACACCTCCCCTCAGTCTACATGTCCAGTTTACTTTGATATGTGAATGAAGAGATTGCAGAGTGGAAAGGAATAAAAAGTTCAAAGAGATTTCCATCTTCAAAACAGCAGTCAATGTGGCAGTTATACCCGCAAAGACTAACTTGTTTTGACAATTAAAATGTTATGCAAGGCACTAGAAAATAATAATAATAATAATAATGCTGGAAGGAAATACAACATCAGTAGTACCTTCTTAGCAAGGAAAAGAACAGCATCAACAGTACCCTCAGCATATATTGATCTGCCACAGACGTTATGCTGAAACTCAAAAGAAACTCTGCAGAAGATATTCATAACACCAAAAGAAAAGGATTAAACAAAAGAAGTCATTTGATGCCTACAAACTATCCAAAAGGTAGGGATTAGATAAGATATTGGTTGTTACGTTTGATCAGGTGATGTCAGATGGTACATATGGAATGCATGACCCAACAGATGTTCCTCAGGAACTCCCACCATTTCAAGTTGCTGCTTGGGATCTCTGATCAATTTTATCTGATAATTTAAAATGAAAAAGGTTAGAAAGAGTACAAATTAAGAAACCAAAATTTTTCAAAAAAAATGGCAAAGACATTTATAACTCTTCCATGATAAACCAACAAGAAAATGAATCATGAATATCCTTAGCCTATATATGCACCTCGTCCATGTCATAAGACACCCCCAATTTCTGAAAGCAAGAAATTACAGCCTTGGCAGTTCCAGAGGCATCTAATTTACTAGCTTGATGCGACTCCATCACCTAAAAAATTATAAGCAGATGCACAATTATTGTTTCATTCAGAATAACTATGGTCAAAAGGATGAAGTGAATTTAACCCCTTTGAAACATTCTTTTGGGTATATTGAGAAGTACCTCAAGGGAGTAACCAGAGAAGGCTCCAGGAAATTGCTCAGCCATAATTTCCATGGCTGCGAGAAAGGCAACAACCTGCCAAAGTCATCACATCATTAAGCCAAGAAATAAGATGTCTCAGACTTTTGAAGTATAATATAACTAATAATGGGTTACTGAATTCAGATTACCTGTTTTCCCATTTGTGGGGAGATCACTGCATAAACCCCCGATTCTCCTACGGTCTTATATAGTCTATCCCTGTCTCCACCAGTGGTTCCCATAACAAAGGGCACTCCAACTTTGCAATAGAGCTCTGCATTAGCTACATTCCACCCAAGAATGTTATAAATAGAAGTCAGCTCATGGGGTAAATTCATAAACGTAATGTTATTCCTTCATTTAAGGAAAAAGTCCTAAATCATTTCAGCTTTTGATAGATAACAGGATAGTTTCACCTCAGCAATAGTTTTTCTCAGCAAGCATGGATTTAGAGAGTATTATATTTAAATCTCCCACCCAAGCTTTTTTTCTTTCTTTTTTACAGATATATTACATCAACATATATCTACGTTCATGAGTGGGTTACCATTTACTGCAGCAGGCACGGTGTAGTCCACCACAATCAGGTTTGGATATTCTTTAAGGACAGACGCTAGGATGTGCTCTCTCTCAGAAGGACCATGCACCAGAATCTCTTTACCACATACTTCCACAGTCTGCCCAGACTCCTCCTCTGCACCAAATGATACAGGAACAAGATGAAGTCCAGCAGAATCTGCTGCTTTGATAACAGCCTTTCCCATTTTCCCACCACAGCTATTTACCTGTAATGAATAAATGTTATCAAAAGGAAACGACGGCCTATTAAACCAAACCATTTGGTAACTTTTCTTCTCAAGATATGTACTTGATCATATATAAGAGCCCTCATCATGGTTGGACAGGGAAGGAAAAAACACAAAGTTCCTTCCCATGATTCCAATTAGGCATTAGCTACCCCCATCAACAGAAACCCACCCAAGTCCACTTCAGCTTAAAAAGGATGAGCAGCTACAACGAAATGAAATGCTTATGATCCATTACCATGATTGAGATGTCAGTTTTTGGGGTAGCAGATTTCTGAACGTGTTGTACCGTTGCAGTGGACATGGAAGACGATAATGCCACGGGGAAGAAAGATGCTCGTTTCCGGAAACTCCCAGTTGGAGCACCTCCATCCTGTCTTCTTCGGCTGCCAATGGAAAAGGAAACTAGCTTCTCCGGCCGAGACACAAAGGTGGGAGCTTTAAGCATCGAAGCCATTATCACTGTCCTTAGCAAAACATTAAACAGACAGCAAAATCATAGTACACTCTAGGAAGAAAGAACTGAACTTTTCAATTAATTTACCAAGTCAATTCAATTACCTCAACTGGTCTAGGAAATCGCCGGCGAGTCTGTGACAGGGGAAAGGAGACCTTATGGGATCGTCGAAACTAGAAAGTAGAGAAATGTTAGATGGGGGGGTTTAGGCGTTTAGGGTTTATGGGCGTGTCTTTACGCCCCGCCGGAGTGGACTAGTGCAGTTAAAGAGAAGAGTGTAAGATGACAACATTTCTGCATCGCTACTGGGCCTTATAGCTAATGAAGAACTTGTATGGTTGTATCCAAAATGGTAGAGCCCAGAAGGCCTAAATAAATAAAGCTAAATAGAAATTGATTTCACAACATAGAATTGTAAATTTATTATTATAATATAATATTTAATAAATATAATATAATATAATTATTAAATAAATAAATAATTAGTGCTTATTCGCTTTACCTTTAAATATTATGAAGAAAATTATCCCAAAATTACATACTTCTATTAAAATACTATAGGGAATGACAAAAAACATTTTAATTCCTGCTTTAAAAATATGGTATTTTAATTTTTTTTAATGAAGATTTATTGAAATGATGTAATTTTGAGATGATTTTTCTCTTAATTTTTAAGAGATAAAAGGTATAGGTATGCATTTCACGTGCCGTGACCTAATAGCCACTTGCTGCCCAAAAGGTAGCCCGTGGTTTGCACTCTCAAGTTTCGGATTCAATAGCTCCCACTAACACCTCTAACGTACTAGCTTCTAACAATTGCTCTTATAAAAAAAAAAAAGTATAGGTACTATTTTCAATAAATAAATACATTATAATTATAATTATAATATTTTAAAAATAGAAAAGAGCAGAAGGCCC